AAAAAAGATCACATTTCTTCTATAACTTCTAATCGGCTTATTTCAAGTAGTTCATTTCTAAAGTGTTTTATTCAGTGAATTTAATTTCCTTGTGAAATGGTATTGTAATTAAATGTAAAATGCATTATAGACAATTATAGAGTGCTGTGTGTATTTATTAAAATTAGCTGCAAGAAATTATTGACTGCAATTAAAAAGGTGTTTAAGTGTGTTAGAGTACAGTATGTTACACTGCTTGTAGAAATTAAATTTAGAGAGAGAAATGACTGTTGCATTAACTGTTAAACTTTGTCAATAGACTGTTTTTTTCCTCCTTTGTTTCGTGGGTATTGTACAAGAGGAAGGCTCAAGGTCTGAATGGTGGGTAACTCCAGACACAGCTGTGTTCTGAGGAAACTGTACCTGTGCACATAGCTGTATGAGTGGCCATTTAAGTCATCAGGTAAGTCTGACATCTGAATATAAATGCACTTAATTTTACATTACGTGCACACAGTGCTGAAAACAGCCCAGGCGGAAAGAGGAGAGAGGAGGATAGGTGCTCCTGAGGGAGAAAAATGAGATGTGAGTGCCAGAAAGTCATCAAACAAACAGATGCCAAATGAGACTCAAGTCAGTGGGTTGGACTGGCATCGTTCACAATAGCGCTATAACACTGGCACATTATCCTGCTTAGGCCTGGCATTATGTCTGCATTACATTGCTTTGATAGAACAGGTGACAAATTACAGACTTGTAGAAGATGAATGACGAAAAATGTCGCCGTATGGAGGATTCTTGCACATGGTCCAACAATTTCCAAAAGGGTGGAAAAAAACACAGATGACACAATATGTTCTGCATTTAAACACCCATGTTTCATGAGTGTAATTTGGTTGTTCCAAACATCCAAACATGCTGCAGGGGCAAATTTGTAAAAACATTAAACTTCTCTTTTGGCTGGACAAGGAATGGATGAATGGCTCCAATCGAGAACTGGATCGAAATTGTCGGCTCCATCAAAATCGTATGCCTCTGATTTTACAAACTCGTTTTACTGATGCTGGTGTGTTTTTCTGACAGTTGTCCATTGCAAAAGAATGACATCAAACTTATGTGTCTATGCTGCTAAACAGCTGCTGCAACAAGAAGGAGTCATAGCGGAGAGGAAGAAACGGTCCAAAGCGTGGCTCCATTTCACGAGGAAAACAACATCAGTGCTGCTAGTGATGTCTGTAAAACGGTCACTTCAAGTAAAAATGAAATCACACAGCAAATATGCGAAACATCTATCTATGCAACATGGGCGTAAATTCCAGGAATGTATTTAACACTCTATGCAGGAGTGGCACTGCTTCCTTGTTGAGCAGCACATTGGTTGCAGAGTTCAAATATACTGTGTTGAGGCGCCCTGTGGCTCACCTGATAGTGTGTGCGCCCTGTGTTAAAAAAAACCTGTTGTGTTAATGCCATGCAGGCAGCCTTAGCAGGTTTTTACTTTGGCGAAGGAAACCTAAATGAAAACAAATGCTGTACACATATCCTCTTATTTCATCCATTTTAGATGATAATGCATGCTGTTTTGGTATCAATAAAATCTTCCCATCCCTACGCTGGACTGGAGTCCAAAAAAGTACTTCTGCTATTACATTAGTTTGGTGGAAATAAGCAGTCTGTGTTAACAAAGATGGAAACATGATGGTGCCACACCATGTTATATTGATGGTGTGACTCTGAGCCAACTATAAAACCATTCTCACATTAATTTCCTCTCTCTGTCTGTGGTCAGTCTTTTCCGTCACTCCACCCCCTGCTGTATCTACTGTATCGCACAAAGCAGAACATCATTAGAAGATGGAAAACTGATAGAGCTGTTTGGAAAACTCTTTAACAAAAGTAAAACTTTTCAGTTCTTTGAGATGTTTTTTTTTAACTTTACTTTAAAAAATATCATTTTTAAGGCTTAAAAGGGAATGAAAAAAAAAGTGCTTCAAAGGCAATTAGTCTTTAATTCATACCCGTAAAACAAATAATTCAAAAACACTGGAGCTGTTTTAATTATTAATTTCAAAGTTAAGGAGAGAAAGAAACTGTGACAGAGATAAAATTAGATAAGCAAACCTTCCATTTCTCAGTGTCGGAGACTCTGAGTTGCTTCTCTTATTACAGTGAAAAGTGCTTATAGTGATCACATCTGTCCGGGTCAAATTGATCTCTATAAGCAGATGGTTATTATAACCATCTATTTTTCTTTTTCTTTATTTGTCATGCAAATTACCATAATTGTCACCATAATGGACATTTGTATATTTAGTACATGAATATAGAGTAATGAGGGGCATTATGTGACCAGGCATTATCAATCCACTTGACAAGGGTGGCTTCAACCACAGGTTTTTTCCCCCTGTGCAGTTTTCTCCCTGTTTCCGTCACTCACAGGAAAATTATTAAATATGAAGGTATAGGGATGTCATTATGTATAATAATAGTAATTGTACAGAATGAATATAGGATTCATCCATGGTTATGGTAAGGTGTTTCAGAGCCTCAGAGTCCTTTACTGTCTGCATGCAGGCAGGCATGTGGGGAGGCTCCAGGGTGTCTGAAGGTTAAGGTACTGTAAGGTGAGGACTCCAATATTAAACAGGATGGATCAAGGATTACACGCTACATAAAGCTGAATCATTGTTCTGTTGCTTAAAGTTTCTGGTATGGCTGCGTCTATGCATACATGCTGTACCAAGAACATCTATGATGTCAGATTTGTGTTCAACTGTTGCTCATCGAGTTTATTTGGGTACCTGCTTTGCAACAGCAAGGCAACTATATGTAATCTAGCACATTTCTTATTATTATTTTTCTTCCGTACTAAAATTTTGCCACGCAACTCATCTTGCAGCGTTGCCAGCACAATCACAAAAAACACAATAAACAAGTAGGATGATTGAGAATGGTGTGCTATGACTTTTCCGAGAGATTGGCCTAGTCATTTTACAAAATTCGCAACAAACTTTGTAAGAATTTCCATTCAAATGAATGGAATATTGCCGAGAAAATGACCATACTCTCACATAGAAAATCATAGTTTATATGTCATGATGTTTTTCAGACATTTCAGATTTTATAATGGGCGTCTATTAGGACTGTCAAAATTGCCCAAAAATTATTANAAAAAAATATTTCTTATTATAAATTAGTTACAACATTATTTAGAAAAGTGCAGTGGTCTCTTGTCCTGTCCCCCCCCCCCCCCCTCCCCCTCCCCAAACGCCCACTCGCAAAGAGGACAGCTGCGGTGGTGTTTTTTTTTTTTCTCCACAATCGAATATCAATTTTCACATTCGAAGGTCCATTTTTTTTTTTCAAATTCAAATTTAAATTCGAATTTAGAATATTTGTTGACAGCCCTAGCGTCTATGGGAGAGAGCTAGAGTGGTGACATCATCGCTAGAGTGTGGAGGACCTGGAAGATCTTAAAATTTTCTGAACGATTTACTCTCACTGCCACAGTTTCCACTCTACATACATAATTTATACATCAAAACATATCGTTATGTATTGTAAATACATACAATAAATATGCACACATAGCACTCAGTACAGGCAGTGCATATAGATGACTCATATCGAAACTTGCTTTGTACTCAGCATCAGTAGCGGGCACCTGTCAAAATTTCTGGTGAAACTTTCTCATTCTGTGTATCATAAAAATGAAGACTGACCAGGAGTACAGTTCTTTTTAAAATCACCATCATAAGCAGTGATGACTGTTTCTCATTGTTTGAGTCGACTCTAAAAGGCAGCCCGAGGAACACCAAGTTTTTCTGCTGGATCTCGGCTCATTTTTGGCAGTTTGTCATAAGCTTCGAGGAGACTTGGTTTTTTATTGAGAGATAATGACTTTATTTTTTCCGTCATGATTTACAGTAAGTGTGTGGAAGGGAGATCACCCTGTGCTCCAAGCTCGACAAACGAGAGTCTCTTTTCAGATATGTGCAATTTGTAGGAAACAGTCGGGGTGATTCAGAGTGAGCCATGTGAGTGTGCTTGTTGTTTAAAATTTGTAACCAATACAAACTTCACACAGCCATAGACTGGGACAGAATATTCTTATTTGGGAACGTGGAGTAACTCACAAGGGTGTGTTGTTTGGGTTAAGAAACTATGGACTGCATACACAGTGTTACACTCTGTATGTTGAGCGTTGATTTTTCTCGATCGAGTCTTCATTAAGTAGTGTGTGTGATCCGTGAAAGTCTCCTGAGGTCTTCTTCGGCTATTAAATCATCAGCTCTGATGATGTTTCTTCATCAGTCACAAAGACTTTACAGTATTTTGGAAACATTTTTCTTTATTGGATTCATTTAGGTTTCCATTAACTGTACATCGTGTGCACATATCCCTTAATGATCATCATCAAAACAATCGTCTGGCTGCTGCTATCTAGGATTACTTTTACACTGGGGAGTCAACGAGTCATCAAAAAATCCTTTGAGAAATCTGGTTTAGTAAATGCACTGTATTTATTTTTTATAGAACTATGAACAAGAAAAATACTGACAATAAATACCAACATATTTTTCAGTCTCAGTGGTTCTCTAAAATGAAGACGCAATCACTTTGCTTGTTCTCAATTTGTCTTTCTTGCAAGATGCTGAACACTGACCAGTGATCTCTGTTAATAGACCACATAAACTTGACAACAGAAGAATTTAGAATGAGTCCCTTTGTATTTCCTGTTGGAATGTTTCGCAGTGTATGTGAATGACATCAGCTGACAGGAAGGCAACACTTAGCCAAGCTGTCGCCTGGTTATGCTATTCAGGTGAAATACTTAGTATAACAAAAAGTATTTTTGTAACTCAAAACACCATCACTGGAAAAGAAAATTGTAGATCTGGTGGTTTAAAAAGAAGCAAAATCATCCTGCAAAAATCCACACACTCCTGGTGATGCTGCTCACACTCAAACACAGTTCTGCCTGTTATTATGATGTGTGTTTGCTGGTTAGTGGCTCTTACCAGTTCACTGTGAAGTCTGAGAATCAGCTCGTCTTTCTCTCTCAGTTGTTGCAGCAAGGCCTCCTCTCTGCCAGGTTCCTAAACACAAGCAACAAGACACCATGTTACACATTACCGGGGACACTGCAGACAGCAGTGATTTATCTAAGGGACCCTATTCCCGCAAAAGCAATACATAGAGCCTAAAGGATGACAACATACAAAAGGTGTTTGTGTGTGTGCTTCTCTGGCTGTCTCAATAAAAGTTAATGTGTGTTTGCAAGTGTTTTATGTGCATTTATGAGTTTGTTGCTGGTCTTGCTACTGTGTGTGTATGTGCAATAAAGTTGTCATGCATGCAGCAGGTACTGTGATCTCCTCTTCCCTCTACGCGTCTGTGATAAACTTGGTGTGTCCTATGGCAGCACCCCCAGAGCGCACGGCACTTTAATATGACCTTGTGTTGTCAGGAGACATTACTGCGGGGAAGATGGAGAGCAACAACAGAGACGGAAGACAGGAGAGCCAGGAGAATAATAATACTAATAAAAATAACTTTATTCTTATGGCATCTTTCAAAACAACAGCTACAAAGTGCTTCACGGCGAACACACAAAAAAGAGACGATTATAAATTATTCTAAAAATGTCACTGTGTCACATTAAAATGTTTGATGTTCATGTTTTCATCTTTATAATTGTGCTGTGTTGTTTAATCAAGCTGTTTGTCTCATTTATCCACTGCACGCAGTGAGTTCCTCGAGTAGAATTATATGACATGACTTGTGTTTCAAAGTTAAAGTCTGCTAACCTGATTTTCACTGGCAGGGTTTGCTAAAGCCCAGGCAGACAGGGAGGTCGAAAATCAGAAATGTAGCCGGGGCTCCAGACCCAACAGTTCTGATTAAAATATTCAACTTAATCCTAAAATTGACAGGTAGCTCAGAAGTGGACAGAGTGAGAAGGAGAGGAGAAAGTTGAGAATAAGAAGAAAGGAATAAGAGAGAACGATGAGAAGAAAAGAGCGAAATGACAGACAGACGGTCATTACCTCTTCAAGGACATAAAAGCAGGAGACAAAAAGAGGGGCAAGATAACAGGAGGAAAATGAGGGGGAAACGGGAGGAAAGGGGGGCAGTGATAGAGAGAAGGAGAGGACAGAGAGGGCCTGAGGCTGAGCATGATGGTCTGAGACCGTGGGGAGCCATCTAGCTAAAGGACAGACAGAGTCAGAGGGAGACCACAGGGAACCATATAGCTACAACACCGTCCTTTAAATGACCTCTCTGATGCAAACACAGACAGCAAGACTGATCCTCAAGACACAACAATATTCAGAAATGTACAAATGTAACCTGTTCACAAGTGTCTTACATCACTTTGTAAAACAACTAGAAGTGACCTTTTTATGAAATTAGAAACATTAATATACTGGCTGCATGGTGAGGACACTTGTTGAATGTGGCAGGAGGTTGATTCAGTTCAAAGTCAGTGTAATCAAGAGCGATGCCAATACGAAGTAAACAAGTAATACTTTCTTTTAAAATCCAGGTTTAATCCAGTTTCATACAAACTTCCATTTGCACGTGTTGTCCAGCCATCACAAAACTGTTAATACCTGGTGTGTTAGTGTTGTTATAATACTGGAATTTCTAACATCGATACAGTGCCTTGAAAAAAAATAGATATTCAAAACTATTTTCAATACTCTAAGGAAAAAATTGACATTGACGGCATACATTAAAAGATAAATATATCTGAACTATTAACAACTCTGCCCTTGGAAAAATGACATATATGCTATCAGGGGTAATCAATCACTCTTTAACAACATCTGGGGTCCTTTCATGAGTTATCTAGAGAGGACAGACTTAACCCACATGTTGGAAGTACCCGGGGATATGCTATAAGTGATGTCCAAATCCGTCTAAGTTTTTTTTTCTTGTTGTTATCCAAATTTGTACAATATGTAAAATATGTTTAAAAATAAAATAAAAAATATGTTCTTAAACCGAAGTGTATTGTTTTGCACTTACACGATCCTCAGTCTGTAATTTCTGATTTTATTTCCCCTCTTATTTTTCTTTATTTATTTTCCCAGGGTTCGACATAAGCAATGGTCCGATGGCCCGGGGCCGGTCAAAAAGTATGTCGGGCAAGTTGACTGACAGGACGCTGTAAGGCTTTTTTTTTTGTCAGGGGACTCCAGCTCCAACTCCAGCGATTTTTATCCCACTTTTCTCGAGCTTTCAGTGGATTTATTGGGCTTTTTGGCCAAAGGTGCCCTCACCTTTGCTCGTGCAGTGAAACGCCGGAGGAAGGGGAAACGTGCCGGTGCGCTTGTGCGTCTCCGCCAACGCGGACACCGCACACCGCTGCCAGGTAGCCTATATTTCTCTCCAACGTGCGTTCGCTGGCCAATAAACTGGATGAACTTCAGCTACTGATGGTGAAAAACGAATACTTTCTACATCTGCACTTTTGTGCGTGGCTATGTGGATCGATACCGGACTCTGCGCTGCAGCTGGCAGGCTTCCAACTCTTCAGAGCGGATCGTAACACGGAACTCTCCGGCAAAACTAAAGGTGGCGGTACCTGTTTTTATACTAACAGTGGCTGGTGTAATGACGTGACAGTGATCCAGCAGCACTGCTCTCCTGATCAGGAATCTTTTTTCATCCACTGCAAACCTTTTTACTCCCCCGTGAATTTGTTTCATTCATTCTGGTCGGTGTTTACATCCCACCGCAGGCCAACGTGCAGGAAGCACAGCGCACGCTCGCCAACCAGATAGCTACTGTGTGTGGAGCGGACTTACCCAGACTCCTTAGTTACTGTCCTTGGCGACTTTAACAAATGTAACCTCACCCATGAACTCCCCAAATACAGTTTATAAAATGTCTGACCAGAGAGAAGAATATCCTGGATCACTATTACACAACTGTTAACAACGCCTATCACGCTGTCCCCTGCACTGCACTGTGCCACTCTGACCACGCCACCTCCACCTGATTCCCTCATACAGGCAGAAGTTAAAGCTCTGTAAACCTGTTGGGAGGTCAGCTAAGAAGTGGATGAGTACACAGAGGCTGTGACATCATACATCAGCTTCTGCGAGGACTGCTGTATACACCATCACGCACCACGGTGAGGTATAATGGAGTTAAATGAAATGAAGTTAAATGTAATGAAGTTTTTCTCTCTCTCTCTCTTTTTTTACTTGGGCCAGGAAGAATATACAAGGGGCCAGTAAAACTCTGAACTACGGTGGGGATAAAATGTTATGTTGAACATTGTTTTCCTCTCTCATTTATTTATTATTTCATTTTATTTTATTTTATTTTATTTACTCTTAAATTGATACTTTTGGGATGGGAGTTGTGTGTGTTACATACTCAGCGGTTGTACCGAGATTTTGTTCTGGTGTCCTTTTCTTTTGTGTGTGTATAAAAATACACATACTGGATATGTGTGTGTGTGTGTGTGTGTGTGTGTCTGTGTGTGTGTGAAACTGGACATTTCTTTGCTCCAGTAGATCCTTACTTTATCCTTACTTAAGACGAGAGAGCGAGGAGGTAGTATCGATACTGCCGAAAATTAGTATTGAAACCGTTTAAAATATTCAGAATCTATACTTTTGACAACCAGGTACATCACACCAAAACATTTAACATATAAGATAACCTGATGAAGGTCTCTGCACCGAAATGCCATCCCAAATAAATTTCATATTATTGCAAATGTACAAGATGGAGTGTGTGGGAGTTATTTGCACTATTATAGTTGGCCCATGGTCTTCTCTATGCTCCTGTTGACCTACAGGTGTGCAAAAGTTTAACTTTTTTGATACCTCAACAGTGACATTCCTGCACTCTTACAGCTTTGTTTTTCACCCAAAAAGTGAATGAAAAAGAAACAAAATTAATGAAAATTAAAATAACAGGAAATAACAGATTATGATGGAATTTTTATGACCCTGTCTGTCAAATTGACGGACAATGAGAAAGTCTAATGCAACCTCCACATGGAGGATACTGTAACCTTGTCTCAGAATGATTTTTTTTATTATCATATCACATCTTTTTCAGTGTGTCCCAGCAGCTACTGTTGCGAGCAGTAGTGACAGTGTTTGCTACAGGTCTCACAGATGCACAATCCACTGCCAAAACAATCACACTTCTAGTTTATAGGGGTGTAATTTCTCCTGACAGCCCGCAATCTGATACACAAACATTTTATAACTGCTATTAATGAACATAAAGTTAAGATTTTTAATACTTTATGCAGCCTTAAATTTAATGCTTTTTAAGACTTAATGTTTTATGTAAAGCACTTTGAATTACCTTATTGTTGAAAAGTGCTAGAGATAAACCTGCCTTTCCTTTTAAAGACCTGCACGTAAACCCATCTTACTTTCCCACCCCTGCACACATGGCCCATCACAGTGTGAAGTGGGTCTCTGAGTGTCAGATCGTCAGTTTGATAAAGTCAAAGAAACAGAGCCCCAAATTGATTCAACTGCTGTTTGACCATCTGACAAGCACTTGAGCTGAAGCATAATTGTTCCCTAAATAGTTAATAGTGTTTCTGAGAGAATGTGGTCTCATTTCCTCACAATTATACCAAATAAACACTCCCCATCCACCTTGACAGCTAAATAGGTGATGGCCATGTTTGACAATATCCAGGGAGTAGACAGACCAATATACTCAAGATCTGCAAGTGTCTCAAAAAGTTTTAATGGGTTTTGTGTTCTGGCCACCTCATTTTACAGGTCCTGTTGATGTTGAGGTCTGTGTGGAGGGCTTTACATAGACACAATAGTGGTCAAGGAAGGTGAGGCTAAAAGCTTTGCTAAGTGCTTCCATGGAGATAAAACCTAAAAAAGAAAATCTCTCCCACCAGGAAACAGAAAAACAATTAACAAAAACAAAACCAAGTGGTATTCAATTAGAATGGACTCTGTTTACCTGGCATGACAGGGGAGATACTGGTATTTTTAGTTTTTTTTCCTACTGCCAGAACACACACACACACACACACACACACACACAGACAGCATAAAAATTACTAACATGAGATTTGGTTGGGACTGAAAAA